CACACTATTTTTTGTTGAAAGTATGCAAAACTGGTAAAGGTCAAGTGGAACAGCTCTCACCTGGACCTGCAAATATTAGTCTGCTCTACATAGGGAAAGTTATTAGGATTGCCCTCTTTTCTTTTGTAGGAGGTAGCATGGCAGAGTATATCTGAAAAATTACATGTATCAAGCAGCGTACTATCAAAGAAAAATAAATTTATTTGGAGAAAGGGATAAATAAGTCATGACTTAGGTAATACTGGTGTTTGGATGCATCTCCTGTGAAACAGATTTCTTTAGGTCATATTTTTGAGAAAGAAAGGTGGAAGTTTTCCTCTCTGTTCTGCCTTTCAGGTGCAAAGGTGTTACTGATTTTCCCTTTTAGCCTTTAAAAATGCTTTCAGATTCCCTGGAGAAAATACTTTTATTTTTGCAATTTGTGCCATGGCCCTCTGCTAATAACTGAAGTTCCAGTGATTTGAAAGTATATTTGCCAGTACATTGAAGAGATACTAAAATTAGTTTTTTGAGGATTCACACTTAGAAGAATATTCCACTTGTATACAAATCAGCTCATTCTTTGAAACAAGTGGTTTTCTAATAGTTTGTAATTGGCATGATGGAGTCAACCCTTCTTGGAGACAGGAGTTGTTCCCTTTATCTCAAGAACTGCCCATTTTTGTGGCAGTCAAGTCCATTCATCTTGCTGAACGTTTAGGAAGCAATCTGACAGCTTTGTGCCCAGTGTTACTGGAGGAAGAAGCTTGTATGGCAGAAAGAGTAATAGAATTTCAGAGTAGTATGACAAGGCCGTGATATGGTGGGTATCATAAAGCAAGATTTTTTTCGCTCACAGTTTCCACGGTTATTCTCTCCTTTTTCTTTCCCTCTGGTGAGTCCAGGGCAATTCAGAAATCAGGGCTTAAAGTACAGTCACATATTTTATTCTCATGGAGGGTTGATTTTAGCTAATGATGTATTGGAAGGTCTACCTACATCTAGGAAAGAAATGTTTTGTTGCATGTCATTCACAAAAATAACCATCAAATACCTAAAGACTGAGTTAAAAGATTCGGGCTTGCTTTTCTATATTCTCAAGTGTGCCTTCTTTCTCACTTGGTGATTTGTAAGCAGGTCTTGACAACAGGAAGCTTCTAAGAGAAAGTGTTAGAAAGTCCTTGCTGTCTTTGTTGGGATATGTAGGAGCATAGCAGGAATTATGCATTAATGAATAATGAATCTTACAGAGCAAGAAAAAAAAGAGCTTTAAAAATATTTTACTCTCTGAATGTTTACTAGAAATCATAAAGAATGGACTGCAAACAAGATTTCTTTCCACTTCATTGCTCCACTCCAGTCATTTAGGAACCTGCAAACCATGCTTTTCAATTGGAAATGAAATGGAAATGTAATACGGTTAGAATTTGTACAGTAGAAGAATATTTTCCAGAATGAAAACAGTTTAGACAATAACTTACACAGCTCTTTGAACACTTAAAGCATTTCTGTTTGGGATTCAACTATGTTATATTTAATATTTGCCTTCAAATTGCAGGTGAAGAAAAAGGTGATACAGGCTCAGTAAGAAGAAAATTTGAAGAAATTGACCTCCAGGTAAAACTTTTGGGTGTCTAACTAAACGTAATGATGTTGTGTTCAATAGAACCTATTAACTATTGGAGTAGTTATACACATGCCTGATGATTATTATACACAGAAGATTTGATCCAGTCTGCATCTTAATGCATGTTTTTAGCAAGTGAAGGGTTCAGTAACACAGTGTCACAAAGACCAAGCATGAGTGATGTTATTGTCTGGGTCATACCAGTAGGCCAGAGAAAGCTGTACAACGTACTGCATCAACAGGCAACTCTGAGAAAGGTTTTTATAGGTAAGGAAAAAGAGTAACCAGGTGGATCATGAGGTGGTAAAAGCACTTCTAAAAAGGTATGGTCATTCACCTGGGATTCAAGCAGAAAGAGGTAACATGATTTAAAGGAAATGGGAAATGTGAAATAATGGCTGCTGTAACAAAAGCAGACTGGGATCTTCTGCTGTTGCTTCTCAAATACTAGACAATGGTCAGGATACCCCCAGAGTATTTCCCTTGTTGAAGAAAAATATGACACACACATTTTTGTGTGTGCAGCCATTTAAATTCTGGGTTCTGCTTGCTCAAACACCATTACCAAAAAGGGGATTTACTTTCCTTACCTGTTTAGCACAGTGCTAGTGTCCTCTCTCTGACAACAGCTAATATAATCTGCTGAAGGAAGTGGCAGTTTAACTCATGAATTGCCTTTTCTTACAAAACTCCCTTTGATTTTATGTAGAGGGTCTTTGCAGAGGAGACCTTAACTTGTATATGAGTTCTCGTGAGATGTTAAGAATTCATGAAAGATTTACTCCTGCAATTGTCAGAGCTTTGCAACCATTTTCCTTTTTTCTCTCTTCTTTATTTTGGTGGTTTATTGGTTTATTTTTATCACTGGACCTTTAAGGTGTTGTGTGCTCTTCCCTGAATAAACTAGTTAACTATTCCTTCACATGTAGTTCCTTTGTGGGGATTTGTGGGGTTTTTTGGGGAGGCATGAGTTTTGTGTAAAACGTATACATTAAAAAGAAGCTGATGCTGGTTGCATATCCTCATCTGAAGAATATTAGTTTGCAGTAAGTCTGAATAATCTGTTTGGAGTTGTCTGTGCCAATAATTTCTATCTGTTGAAATAATTTTCTTTTCCTCCAAGAATCTGAATGTAGGTGATGGACAAATACAAAAGCCAGAAAGAGTTCAAGTGGATTTGATAGTACGGGGTGATGAGAGAAATATTCCCAAATGGATAACGGTAACATCTTTCCCCTACCCAAAGTTATTTGCTAGTTAGAATAAAACAAGAGCTCTTTAACTGGGTAGCACAATGAATTCTAACACAACTTCTCTGTGGTTCTCCCATTGTTCTTCTTCTGGATGTCTGCATAAATGATCTTGGGGTTTTGACAGCTAGGATATGTAAGAAACAGAGGAAATGATTTACAGATTTATTTTATTTTTTTTTTACTCTTATGCTTTGTTCTTTGAACTTTGATGTACTTTGGTTGGTCTTTGAGCTGTAAGTTTTCCAAGGATTCTAAATTTGAGTTTTGTTGGGAAAAAAAACAAGAATTAACTTTGTTTTCATTGTGTGGGGAGAGGAGGATCAGAGGTGAAGTGTTACAATACAGAGTTCAGCTTCTGTTTTCTGCTGAGGCTGCCAGAGATGTCTAGATTATTCTGGTGTGTGTGTGTGTATATCCATGGAGAATTTCTTATATTTGGGAAAGGGATTAATACAGATACATAATGTAGCAGTTGAAAAAATGATGACTAGCTTTCCAAGCTTAAACTAGTAACTCCTCTAACTTCTTACTGAGGTCTTAGACTGGATGGTTTCCACTTTGTCTTAACTTGGCTGAGCCCCTAAATACCATAAGTGGACATGACCCAGAGTAGCACGAGGAGAGGGAGTCACAAGTATGGTTTTGATGTAATCTTTAATGTGGAAAACCCTCAGAACCTTAGATTGTTTTTTTCTCTATTTGTTTTTCAGATAACACCTCCACGTCTGTCGAAAGGTCATCGTTTAACTTCGCCACTGCAAGAACTGCTCGGTATGGTTAAGCCTTTTGTTTGTTGGTCTCATATATTAGTTACTAAATGTGATTTTATTAAAATCCTTTAGAGAAAATTAGTTGAACTAGAAAAGAGTTAGACTTGTTTTTGCTTATGGCAAAATATATTTGAAAAACAGGTAATAAATAACATGCGTACATAAATCCAGCTTTTCTTACATAGCCTCAGCAACAAAAACTCATAGTTACAAAATTCAGGAGCATTTATCTCACTGAAAGCGATAATTCTTAGTTCTGCTTGTAAGTGTCCTTTGACTTCTGCTCTTGTGAGAAAAATGAGTGAAGTGCTTCAGACCATGGTGTTTTCATAGCAGCATACAATAAATGATGATCCACTTACCTTTGTCTTCTGAACAGTCTACGAAGAGACTGGAGAGGATGTGTAGAAACCTTCATGAGTTCCAGCTATCTCTAAATACTGTAAGATGTAGAAATTACATTCATAGGGATGGTGGATGGGATTCCTCACACAAAAAATTGAGGTCACCACGGTGTTTGGGATGTGTGGATTTTTGGGTTTTGGTTGTTTTGGTGAGTTTTTTCAGGCTTTTTTTCTTGGTTCTGTTTTGGTGGGTTTTTAATATATAAAGGATTATCAGTAGGGCATAATAACTTAACAAAAAAATCTGTCTTTAGCTGTTTTAGCTAAAATTTTAGTTTAGGCAGATCTTTTCCTTTTTTAGTATTCACACAGAATACTTCTCACTTCTCAGTGAATGCAGAGTTTCTTCCAGGTAATACACACTATTTTTTGTTGAAAGTATGCAAAACTGGTAAAGGTCAAGTGGAACAGCTCTCACCTGGACCTGCAAATATTAGTCTGCTCTACATAAGGAAAGTTATTAGGATTGCCCTCTTTTCTTTTGTAGGAGGTAGCATGGCAGAGTATATCTGAACAATTACATGTATCTAGCAGCGTACTATCAAAGAAAAATGAATTTATTTGGAGAAAGGGATAAATAAGCCATGACTTAGGTAATATTGGTGTTTGGATGCATCTCCTGTGAAACAGCTTTCTTTAGGTCATGTTTTTGAGAAAGAAAGGTGGAAGTTCCCCTTTTTTCCTCTCTGTTCTGCCTTTCAGGTGCAAAGGTGTTACTGATTTTCCCTTTTAGCCTTTAAAAATGCTTTCAGATTCCCTGGAGAAAATACTTTTATTTTTGCAATTTGTGCCATGGCCCTCTGCTAATAACTGAAGTTCCAGTGATTTGAAAGTATATTTGCCAGTACATTGAAGAGATACTAAAATTAGTTTTTTGAGGATTCACACTTAGAAGAATATTCCACTTGTATACAAATCAGCTCATTCTTTGAAACAAGTGGTTTTCTAATAGTTTGTAATTGGCATGATGGAGTCAACCCTTCTTGGAGACAGGAGCTGTTCCCTTTATCTCAAGAACTGCCCATTTTTGTGGCAGTCAAGTCCATTCATCTTGCTGAACGTTTAGGAAGCAATCTGACAGCTTTGTGCCTAGTGTTACTGGAGGAAGAAGCTTGTATGGCAGAAAGAGTAATAGAATTTCAGAGTAGTATGACAAGGCCATGATATGGTGGGTATCATAAAGCAAGATTTTTTTCGCTCACAGTTTCCACGGTTATTCTCTCCTTTTTCTTTCCCTCTGGTGAGTCCAGGGCAATTCAGAAATCAGGGCTTAAAGTACAGTCACATATTTTATTCTCATGGAGGGCTGATTTTAGCTAATGATGTATTGGAAGGTCTACCTACATCTAGGAAAGAAATGTTTTGTTGCATGTCATTCACAAAAATAACCATCAAATACCTAAAGACTGAGTTAAAAGATTCGGGCTTGCTTTTCTATATTCTCAAGTGTGCCTTCTTTCTCACTTGGTGATTTGTAAGCAGGTCTTGACAACAGGAAGCTTCTAAGAGAAAGTGTTAGAAAGTCCTTGCTGTCTTTGTTGGGATATGTAGGAGCATAGCAGGAATTATGCATTAATGAATAATGAATCTTACAGAGCAAGAAAAGAAAGAGCTTTAAAAATATTTTACTCTCTGAATGTTTACTAGAAATCTTAAAGAATGGACTGCAAACAAGCTTTCTTTCCACTTCATTGCTCCACTCCACTCATTTAGGAACCTGCAAACCATGCTTTTCAATTGGAACTGAAATGGAAATGTAATATGGTTAGAATTTGTACAGTAGAAGAATATTTTCCAGAATGAAAACAGTTTAGACAATAACTTACACAGCTCTTTGAACACTTAAAGCATTTCTGTTTGGGATTCAACTATGTTATATTTAATATTTGCCTTCAAATTGCAGGTGAAGAAAAAGGTGATACAGGCTCAGTAAGAAGAAAATTTGAAGAAATTGACCTCCAGGTAAAACTTTTGGGTGTCTAACTAAACGTAATGATGTTGTGTTCAATAGAACCTATTAACTATTGGAGTAGTTATACACATGCCTGATGATTATTATACACAGAAGATTTGATCCAGTCTGCATCTTAATGCATGTTTTTAGCAAGTGAAGGGTTCAGTAACACAGTGTCACAAAGACCAAGCATGA